AAATCACCTTTTAAAATTTGAACCCTGAGAAGTTTATCAAACATACTTGACCAAAAAGACATACCACTATGATTCATTTACCCAAAGTGACAATAAAAGATAGGTGGCCCCTAGCAAAACTTTAGTTCTTAGGTTAAGGCAGCCAGGTCAATGACTTTCCACCTTGAAGGCAGTGAGTGTGGGGCTCCAGCACCTTTAGTCTATAACAAAGACACACAAAACAAGGCTGACATGCACACAACACAGTAGATGAAATACTCTTCCAAAGAAATTCAAGACCCTGGGACTTGAACCTGACCTTTGAGGACCTCAGCAGTTGTCACCTCTCTTCCAATTGTCTCCCCAGGGTGGAACTGGAACCCACAATCCAAGAGACTTTCAGGTAATTTAGGCACAAGTGCATTTTAATGAGGCCACTCACCTGAAAGTAATCTTATCCAGGAGCTGTTTCTTTTCTCAGAAATAGCAGGAAGGAGCCTGGAGCACTTTGCAGAATTGGGGGTAGGGGCAAAGTAGGATAGTGGGGAGGCATTGGTGGTATGGTGCAGAAACCCAGAGGTAAAACCCTTCTACACAAGCTAGTTTAGATGGCCAGAGTCGTACAAGGGCCCACACCCCATGGCAGAGTGGAGGTGGGGAGCTGGGAGGCTGGGGGGCTTCAGTGTCTCCAGCAGGCAGTCACAAGGACCAATTCCATGGTGGTTACTAAAATCGTTACCAAGCATGGGCTTGATGCCTCACCTACCTAGAAGCCAAAAATATGGCACCAGCTTTCGAGAAATGAAAGGAGCTCTATTTGCAAGTTGACTAGTAAGGAAACAGGAGGGAAGGTTCGAGTCTTGATATCCAGGGTCCGGGGCTGGATTTTAAGGGGTGGCAGTTTAAGGGTTCACATGTGTTACTCATGAGTGGCGTAAAGTTTGGTTCTGGGTCTTGTTAAACAGGAGAGGACCAGTTTGAGCTGGTCTACAGTTACAGTAGCAAGGTAGAATGGCGGGCCCAAGTGCAATATGCATACCTCTCCCTCGGCACCTCCCTGCCTCCAGATGCGTTCTTTCTAGAAGGCATTAAGCATATTTAATGAAGTTTTCTTTTCTCTCCTTTCAACCAGAAGTATGGCTTCTGTCACTGGCCTAACCACTTGCTGGGGCAGATGCTCTCAGTGTGAAGTGGAGGCTCCAAAGGATATGCAGACTAAACACATGAGTGTTTCAGAAACTCTGAAAAACCTTTAGCTTAAAGCACTGTCTTCACTGGGCCTTATGCAATTTTATTTTCAAGGGCAATGAATTTTAATTGGCCTGAGGATTAAGGTTATCTCAAACGAATGTCATGTAAACAGAGATCTTCTATTTAATTAATTTAATTTCTACCAAGAGAAATGGCCCTGGGAGAACAAAAAAACAAAAAAGAAAATGTCAATGCATTTTTGTGAGACGCTGTTAGGACTGGAGAGACTCTCCAGCCAATTAGGACCCATGCAGAAGAGCGCTGACTAGACTATGAGCGCATGGAGGAGGGGGAGCCTGTCAGGAGTGGTGGGAAGTGAGTATTTTATCATCCGAGGCTTTGTTTTACATGTCACCCTGACATTGAATTTTACTTTCTGCATGGCCGAATGTTCCCCAGGATTCACCTGTGTTCGCTATGAAAAGGAGCAAAGCTGACATTGGGCTAAAAGAAGTTTAGATCGCAAATAAAGTTTTATAGCTATCGCTCTCTGCCATGGCACCCATCATTACCCATTTCTCAGATGTGCACGAACAGCTGAAGAGACTATGCATGGCCCAGCTCCAGAGAGAGTCATTCACACAGTCTACAGCTGGAGTTGTGCAGCGCGCACAAGCAACACATCTAGTGCCCCACGAACGACAGTACAGAGAAAGTAGGTAAGGATAGACTAGTTCAAGAGAGGCCTCATGGATAAAGGGGTGCAACTGAACACGCTCCAGAATAGGAGGTCCAGATGCTGACAATTTCACTCCCCAGAGGCATTCGGGCTGCCAGTAGACAGGATCAGGCATACCTCCTGACAGGTTGCCAACAATGCAGAACACTAGGCAACGTGTCCAAGATTCCAAGAAACAAGGACATGCTTCCTGAGCTCTCCTCCTATAAAGTTCGCACACCAGTGGAATAGTAGAAATGGCTATTATAGATATATAGAAAATGAAGTCAAAGAAAACAAGAGAAAAAGGAACATACATGCAGGACCAATCTATACAGACGGCATTAAGAAATAAAAGATTTCAAGGAGCCATATCCAAGGCAACTAAGGAAGTGGATTTAGCCATGCCCGGACCAGAGGCCAGCCTTAGCTGAATGGAGGAAAGGAGGGAAGGGATGTCCCAAGCCACGTGGAGACTGGAGGGGGCTGGCTCTCATGGACCTCATGACCCCATTTCCTTGGCTTCTTCAGTGGGTGGCCAGCCTCTCTGCTGTGAATTTTCCGTACTTGATTCTTTTGTACTATACAAATGCTCCTATTTTTGGGAACTTTGGATTTGATCTTCACATCACTAAGATGTGCCCTCTTGTATCAATCCTCAGAACACTCTGAAGCTTTTCTTTGGCAAACATAAATAGAAAGAATTCCCAATTTTTTAATGTCCCCAAGGACAATTCATGTTGCAAACAGGTGAACTGACAATCCTTAACTTGAACCAGCAGATGTCAGGCTTCATGCAGCAATCATTTCAGCAGCCCCCAAGGACTCAAAATAAATGAGTTCAGGGCAATTATAACCACCACATACCTGGCCCCACCCACTCACCCATTTCTCTGTGTGTTTTTTGTAGCTGGGCCTGCCCCCGGGGCCACAAAACCCTGAGCCTGGCTAACCTGAAGCCATTCCTGTTAATTCCTTGAGTGTCAAGATAATGCACTTCAAAAAAATAACCAGTTTTCCACAGCAGTCTAGTCGTCAGACTATTTTGTTAGTAAACAGAGATACTCCAAAAAAAAAAAAAAAGAAAAGAGAAAAATCTTGCAGTCACTCCTGGTACCCACGTCGGACACTATGTGTGAAATGCCATGCGCTGCATAGAAATTTATGTCAGGATGATTAGATTTGCAACTGCTGATCAAAGGAACATCTGTTCCAGGTTTGGGAGGTAGGAAGGTGGGGAGAAGAATAGCTGCTACTTTCGTATCACTAATCACATCCATAGCAAAAATGGCTGCCCTGTTTGCTGAGCTTTCCACACCTGGCGGGGGCACTTTGAAGTCCACCAAGTCAAATCACTGCCACAGGAATGCCATACGTCATCAAAGCGTGACGGGCTGGGGCATTGTTCCCCCTCAATTTGCTCGCTGGGACCTTCCATCTCATCCCACATCCACTCCCGTGGGACCACTGTTGTCCTCAGTAGCTCACATCATATGCGATACATTTGAAGTCCACTCAGCCTGTCATTCTCCTCTTCCAATGACTCCCCATCGCCCTTAAAATAAAATGTAAACTCTCTGCCCTAGCCTGCAAGGTATTGCGTGGTCTGGTCCCCGCCTACCTCACACTGCACTACCCTCTCCTCTCCCCAACCCACAATGATCAATTTCCTGTTCTAAGAATAAACCAAATGCATTCTGCCTCGGGGCCTTTGGACTCATTGTTCCCTCACCCTGGAACTTTATTACTGAAAATCTTTGTCTACTTGCTCCCTCCCTTATTCAAGTGCCTGGAAAAATATTGCCTTCTCAGAAAGATTGTGCCCGACCAGCCTATCTAAAATACAACCACCCACTATCCTACCGAATCCCAGTTTACTCTACCCTCTCACCCTCCTTTATTTTTCTTTGTAGACCTTCCATTCTCTGAAATTACACATTTAATTATTTGTTTCTTTGTTTGTTACCTGTCTTCCATACTAGAATATAAGCTCACAAGGGCAGGAACCTGTCTTTCTCACTTACTTCTCTGTCTTCCATGCTTTAAAGGTAGTGCCTGATGCACCTACATTAGTCTTGCAACCAGTATATGTTGAAGGAATACATAAAATTCATTCCTTTACCCCACAAGTTGCTTTTCTCCTTCTGTTCATGGCACTACTTTTAACCTAGTCACATTGAAAAACTTGGGAATATTTCTGACTCACCACTATCTCTCATTCTTACATGAGAGACCAGTCATTGCCAAGACCTTTCTGGTCTTTCATGAATCCATCTCTTTCCCCACCCCTCCCATTCCCACAGGTACAGCTTTAGACAACGGTCTTGTCCTCTCATACTGAGACCGTTACAATTACTCTCTCCTAGTATTTCTACCTCCAGTCCATCCTGCCCATCACACCAGCTTAATTATCATTGCCTTCAACAAATGATGACCCCTTATCACCCCATTCCACCTCAACAACACACACACACACACACATACACACACACTCTCCTACACCCTCCCAACAACCTGAGTTCAGAAACCATCAGAATAAAATCCCTACGATTCTTCCAAGCAAATTCTTTCTGTAGTTAATCCTGTCTCTCTGTTCCCTGATTTTGCCTCACCTTATCCCTGACATTGTGTACACTGTTGCTCCAGAAATACATCTCTCTCATCACTCCAATTAAATCTCCTTCCTATTCTTCATATCCCAACCCTAATCTTTTCTTTATAAAACTCCCATTGTCCACTACACACCATGGTGATGTCTCCTACCCCTTGTCTTTTGTCTATAAATCCCATGTGGTTCTAGTTATTTTAAGGCCTTAAATTATCTAATGCTTTTTTTGTAGGCAAACACACACATTTATTTAACTTTGCTGGGCATCCTACCCACCTCCAAACATCACAAAATTGAAAGAAAGTTACCATTTACTCTCTACTCATATAAAGTTATAAAACATAGGTTCTATAATTAGTTCAATTCCCTAAGTTTCTGGATGAACAAACCAAGTTGCAAAGAGGCGAAGAGACTTATCAAGCAGCACTTTGCTGGTTCTGATAATCTGACTTCTGTCTCTGGTTTTAGAATGACCCTCACTCAACTCCAGAGTAATGTATTTACCATGAAGTTCTTTCTTTCCAGACAGAATCTGATAGAATATGTGGTAGTTCCTCTCTCCAGGCTGCTGAAAAATCACCCGGGACTTTTCAAGCAAATCTGCACGATGAGAAATGGAAAAAGACACATATTTAGGTGTTCTTGCAACACTTGGAAGAAAAGTGATCAGTGTGATGGTCACTTACAGACGTCGATGTCAGCAGATGACAGCTTGGCCCTGGCACAGAAGTGCATCCTGATGAACTTGCCCTAGGTGGACGCAGAACACAGTGTCCTATTGAAACAAACCTGATGGTTGCATTGGCTTCATTATACACATTACTCACAAAGTGACTAGTCCCATGAAAGTTTTTTTTTTAAAGTAACATGGTTCTGAGCTAACGTGTGTCAGTGTTGGGAGGCAGCCAGGACAAATGTCCAGACGAGTAGTGGTCCTAGACCCTAGTCTCCGATCTGCTGGGTGTGCTTATGTGCACTACTGAATTTCTTCAGGCCCCAGTGTTCTCATCTAAAAAATGAGGAAAATTATATCTGCTTAGCATATTCTTTCATTTATTCAGCAAACATCCATTGAGCATCAATGTGACCCAGGAAACCTGCTAGGCACTGGCAATAGCATATCAGACAAATAGATATGGTCCCTGTACTTCTAGATACTAGGTATAAGCAGCAAATGCCAGGACTCTAATGTAGAAATATTTGGTGTGTTTTGAAATCCAAAGAAAAGCCAGTTGTCCTGAAGTTTATTAAGAAAGAGAAAAGGAGGGAGGCAATAAAATAGAGTCTGAGAGGTGGACAGGCACTGGGCACCCTATCATGGGAACCCTGTGGGCTCAGGAAGAAGTAGTGTTCTAGTATACATGTGCTTGGGGGACATGGGGGGTTTTAAGCAGAGAAGTGTTGTGATCCATGCTTCAAAACACCCCTTGGGGGAGGGGACTTCCTCGAAGATGGAGGCTTAGGTGGAAGCACTGCGCCTTCTCACACAACCAAGTTTAAAAACAACAAAATTTTAGCAACAAAAACGCAGCCAAACCACAGAAAATTGAACTACACGGAAGTCTGACACCAACAAACCCTTCAGCCAAACTGGTAAGAGGGGCAGAGCCAGCAGCAGAGCGGGGTCTGGCAGGAAAGATCCCCTGGACCTACCCAGGCGCCTTGACCCAGGTGCGCCAGCAGCCGAGGGCGGATCCCAGGTGTGGAGAAGCAAGCAGACCCACTGAAGGCGCAAGGCGGTGGACCCCCTGAGGGCTGATCACAGTCACACATTCGAGCGCAGATAAACCGGTGAAGGAGCTAGCGGTGAGACAGACCACGCAGGCCTCAGTGGTGGAAAGTGGCAGAGGGAACCGCCATTGTCTCTCTCTGACCCCGCCCTCACATACGGCATCACAAACCAGCGACCTGGGTGGCCCTGCCCTGGTGAACACTTAAGGCTGCGCCCCTCGTGCCCCTCGTACGTAACAGGCATGAACAGATCAAAACAGGGCTCAAGAACGACTCAGAGCCCCAGAGCCGATAAATCTAAGCGAGGAAGAAATAGCCAAACTTTCAGATGCACAGTTCAAAACACTGGTGATCAGGATGCTCACAGAACTGGTTGATTTTAGTCACAAATTAGAGGAACATATGGAAGCTAAACTAATTGAAATGAAGGGAAATACACAGGAAACCAATAGTAATGGAAAGGAAACTGGGACTCAAATCAAAGGAGTGGACCAGAAGGAGGAAAAAAAATGACCAAACAGAAAAGGATGAAGAAACAAGAATTCAAAAAAATGAGGAGAGGCTTAGGAACCTTCAGGGCATCTTTAAACATTCCAACATCCGAATTATAGGAGTACCAGAAGGGGAGGAGGAACAGCCACAAGTGGAAAACTTATTTGAACAAATAATGAAGGAGAATGTCCCCAATCTGGCAAAGGAAATAGACTTCCAGGAAATCCAGGAAGCTCAGAGAGTCCCAAAGAAGTTGGACCCAAGAAGGAACACACCAAGGCACATCATCATTACATTAGCCAAGATGAAAATGAAGGAGAGAATCCTAGAAGCAGCAAGAGATAAGGGGGCAGTCACCTACAAAGGAGTCCCCATCAGACTGTCAGCTGATTTCTCAAAAGACACCTTACAGACAAGAAGGGGCTGAAAAGAAGTATTCCAAGTCATGAAAATATAAGACCTCCATCCAAGATTGATCTATCCAGCAAAGCTTTCATTTAGAATAGAAGGACAGATAAAGTGCTTCTCAGATAAGATCAAATTCAAGGAGTTCATCATCACCAAGCCCTTATTATATGAAATGTTAAAGGGACTTACCTAAGAAAAAGAAGATAAAAAAGATGAACGGTGAAAGGACAGCAAACTCACAGTTATTAAGAACCACACCTAAAACAAAAGCAAACTAAGAGGACAGCTAGATCAGGAGCGGAACCATAGAAATGAAGATCACATGGAGGGTTAGCAACAGGGGAGTGGGAGAAGGAGAAGGGGGGAGAAGGTACAGAAAATAAGTAGCATAGATGGTAGGTAGAAAATAGATAGGGGGAGGGCAAGAATAGTAGGGGAAATATAGAATCTAAAGAACTTGAGACTCGTGGTCATAAACTAAAGGGGGGAATAATGGGGAAAAGGGTATGCAGGGTGGAGAGGAATGAAGGGGGGAATAGAACAACTGTAATGGCATAATTAATAAAGTATATTTTAAAAATGCAAAGAAACACCCCTTGGGGAAAAATAATAGATGGGGTTCACTTGTTTCTAGTGAAAAGCTTCAACGGGATGTAGTGGGTCAGAGAGGCTGCCCGGTGGTGACAGAGCCTGTATTCAGATGCCAGATGCAGCCAAGGAGGCAGGCCAGTGGCAGCCAGGGCCTGTGGGGTGGGATGCTGGTGCTTGGCAGAGGCAGGAGGTCTGCCGGTGCAAGGAAGGAGTCAGGGCAAGGCTGTGCCTGGGAAGGGAAGGAGAGCGGCTGCACAGAGGGGGATTGAGCCAAAAAGTTAACAAATGTAGGATAATGGGAGCTGAACATATGTATATAATGCACATATATGTATATGGAAATTTATATGCATGTATGCACATGCATATATAATATTAATTGAAAATATTTGTCCTGAATTTTTAAATTGTTAAGCTTCTTTTTCTCTCTTCCCTTCTTCTTTTTTCTTCTGCCTTGCATTAATCTATTTTTATTTTTCTTCTTCTTTCTAGCCTTCTAAATTTTTTTTGTTCTTTTTCATTGCTTTTTTCCCTCTTATTTCTTTTTATTTACTCTTGATAGTCTTTTTCTTTTTTCACTGTCTTTTCTCTTACTCATTCTTTTTTGCCTCTCATTTTTCCCCTCCCTCTCTTCCCTTTCCCTCTTGGGTTTTTCCCCCCTCCCAGCTTTTTTCCTTTCAGATTTCAGCAAAAAGATCCCTCACATTCTAACTAATTCCAAATCTAGCAATTGTTTTATGGACCAGTACTAGCACCTGCTATGCAGCCAGACATTGCAAGTAAATCTAAGGCCTTGGGTGGAAACTAGCTAAGTTAGCAGGAGGCTGTCAGGTAATTATGCCCAGAGACTCAAACAGGAAGCCTTCTGCAAATTTCCTTATAAATTACATAGTTGCTCCCTGCATTCTTGGCATAAAATAAATTTGTGTACTGTTGGAAATCCAAATCCTTCCTCTTTTATGAGACTGCTATAGTTATAAAAAGCTAATGAAAAATATTTTCCATCAATAAACAAAAATCCCCAATGAAAAATATATGGGGTCAAGGTGACCATAGTCAGGAATAAAAATAGTAATTGTAGTAAGCGAATTAGAAAATGCTTATTAAATTCATTTGTTATAATAAAAAGTATAGGAAACTATGAAGAAGAAAGTACTTTCAAAGTTTTAAAATATGATAAAATATAAAACATGATAGAATTTGCTAGGTAAGCTTCCCTACTACTGGTAATGAAAAGAAATTTGAAACTATTAAAATAAATATTTTCTTCCTGAAATTGACAAAATAGTAGAAGCTTCTCAGGTACATACTTTTATGTAGTCTTAATTGTTTTCATGATACTACTGGTTAAATTTCTTGACGAATCTAATATTATAAACTTCAATAAAAAATCTTTGATGCGCTAGAAATTTTCTCCATACCTATGTGCTCAGACATGAATCTTACCATTTACTTAAAAATTACAGACTCATATGCTGCTCAGTTGTGTTACTTACGAAACGAGAGGAGTTGTCGTTTCTCAGGGTTTTGGCACTTCCAAATGCTTCTAAGATAGGATTCACTTGTTTGACTTGATCTTCTAAAGTCCCCTGGGGTGCAGGGGAGAGAAGTAAGACTGATGAAGCTTTTAGCAGAACTCTGTACTGTGGCACACCCTCCATTCCCAGGTCAAACCCCATTCTTGCTCTGATAACCAGTAGTCAAAGCTGCTTCCAGACCTGACCAGTGTGCTTGGTTGGTTGAGCCTTGTCCCTCGAACCAAAGGGTCACAAATTTGATTCCCAGTCAGTGCACATGCCTGGGTCACAGGGTCAGTCCCCAGTTGGGGTGCAAATGAAAGGCAACCAATGGGAGTTTCTCTCTCACATCGATGTTTCTCTTCCTCTCTTTCTCCCTCCCTTCTTCTCTCTTTAAAATCAGTGAGCCAGCAACATGGGTGAGGATTAAAAAATAAATAAACTGATGCCAAATTTGGTGATGAAATGTTGTTTTGGTAAGGGAACTCATAAAAATAAATGAGTGAGACACTGACAATATAAAATGCCCCTACGAATATATGTGGGAGCTCATTTATTTGAAATACTTCTCTTTTAGTTGGCATTGGCTTGAGTAGGAAAAGAAAATGGATATTTTACAGAATAAACAACAAATACCATAGCCTACTTTTAAATTTCATTCCATATATTTCCCCCCATTGTTAATCTCACTCTCTTCCCATCTATCCACACATCTGAAATTTTATCCTAAGGTAATACAGCACACTCTTGGCATTATTAAATTACGTTTTTCTTTCCTAACTTTCCTAAGTGATCTAGAAATCCATGTCAAGCAAAGACTTGTGATGGTGTTGATCTTGAACTTGAACGATGTGTGCTTAGGCTGATGGACCAAAGCTGGTCATCTACACACGGCAAGTCTGAATGACCATTCGGTACCCAAACTGCAATGGCTTTCGTTTTTCAGTTTCAAAGGTCTATTTTATGGGGTGAATTACATAGTATATGTTACTCAGAAGTTTACAGGTTTACAAATACTATGTCTCCTGTAAAGTATCATGGGTATACTTTTATTTAAATAAGTAAAAGAGCTATATGAGCAAATATTTTTATAAAACTGTTATGTGCTATGTGTTTTGTGTTATCATATGGCTCAATGGCTAGACTGAACAAACAAATGCACGCCAAACAACCTAAAATGTGTGCAAAAATGAAGTCTTAGCTAATAGGGTTCAATGATATTTAAGGAAGTCAATCAAATTCAGGGATTTGGTGACTGGAAAAGAAACTTTTCATGGTTTGAAAACTGGACTAAATTGCTATTTTGATATACTTCTTACTTTGCAAAAACAGCAGAAAACAACCAGGATTGAACTTTAAAAGTGAACTAACAATGTCAGATGCAGAAAGTTGTGAAGCTCTAACAGCTCAGTAAGTCATTTGTTTTGAGTTCCACTCAGCATTATCTAATTTTGTTTGGCATACCATCTTCCATGGTGTAGTTATCTTCAAATTATTATGAAGTCCATCAACCTGTTAATGAAGCTGAACGAAGTAAGCAAACTTAAAAAATCATCAAGGATACAGATAATTGACTAGAGAGAGATGGTTAAGTTTTCAGTACATGGGAAGTGATTAGGTTGAGGCTATACCCATCAGGTGTTTGAGATTTGATCCAGATGTTAGTGGTAAAGGAAGCAGACTTCTATTTGGCACACACAACCAGCTCACCCTAGCTAAAGGAATTTGGAAATATCAAAAGTGGCTCTTCAAGGCACTGATGACCCTAGCCTTTAAGAAAGGTGGTTTGAATCTTAAGTGCCCAATTTTCAGATGGTCCAATTGACAAATAGTTGACCAGTAAATACCCCTGGAAGCAGATCTGAAACAACTTATATAATTTCATGTTTGAGGGATAACCCAATAATGGTACATGGAGCCATTGATGACTCTCTCAAGAGGTGAAGAAAAAAATGGGCAAAAAAAAAGAGACTTTTCTATAGTTTTCTAACTGTTCTGTGGTTCTTGTCCCCTCGTTTTTCCCTGTCAGAGGTCAGGGCACAGCCTCTGTGATCAGTGGGTAGGACCACCTCACCTGTTTTGCCAAGGTGTGTGAACACTTACTGGCTTTTCCCTTGATTGTCCCATGGTCGCAATGGTGGCAAAATATTGGATAAGGTGCTTGGTGTTCACAGTCTTTCCCGCACCAGATTCTCCTCTACAATCAGAAATTCGATGGCACAGTTAACAGGCTCTGATTATAAATGCAATGAAAGTTAAATAATTTCAACCATATAGTCTAACACAAGAAGGGAAAATTTTATGGAAAAGTGGAACTTATGAGGGAATTTGAAGGAGATGCAGACATTTCATTGGTTGGGAGAAGGGGGAGGACAGGTCAGGCCATAAAAACAGCATTAAAAAAAAGTCTGTAAATATCAAAGACATTTATAAAAACAAGAAGCCTATGCCTCATGGTCCTGTTAACAAAAGGCTAAAGAGTACCACTGCTAATTAGAGGTAGGTCTTCTCATTACCAGAAAAAAAATTCATATATTGCGGCTACCTCACGGCCAGGTCTAACCACCTCCCTCAGAAGAGGGCCTACCACTCAGTTCACCAGGCAGCTGGGGTCCAGACTTCCCTTTTACCTTTGGGAACCAGCTAACTTTGTAATGTGGGGAGAACACAATGCTAAACTTACAGGCTCATTGCCCAAAGTGTCAAAGGATCAAGGCCTGCCTTTCTCCATATAGAACTCCAGAAAGTAGCCTATCCTCTCTGCAAAGGGCTGAACTCTAACTGCCCTTTCAGCTCTAAGATTCTGAGATGCTGTTGTTATATTATTATTATTGGCATGGCTGAAGCAAATGGAGAGCTCAGTACACAGGGTGCATCATCATTGCATAGGAAGAGCAGGGACTTCAGCATTTCACAGCCTCTTGAGTCTCAGCCTATCCTCTCAGCCACTACACTAACAGTTCACCTGGCCAGATGAGATGCCCTTTCCAACCAAACTAGCATACATATTGTATCATTGCATGCTTTCCTTCCTTCCTCCTCACCCTTCTTTCTTGCCCATCCAAGCCTCACCATCTTTTAGCTCCTACTACTTCATGTACCTTGGCCTGCGCCAATCTGGCTGCTACAATAACATCATCAGTTTCATGGTCATCCCCACTGGATTTTCAGTCTCTCTGACTAATTAGCCAGTCTAGAGGCCTTTGAAAAGTATCTGGGCAGGGAAGTTTTCTCTATCAAAAAGGTGATTAAAACCAGCTTGTGCACTGTGGTTTCTAAAAGATCTGAAATGATGGAGGCAGCCTGGCTGGTACCATACCTGGAGCAATTTCCTCAGTACCTTATTCCTTCCCAGAACATAGTCTGTATTTAAAGACCAAACAATTCATGGACAGCAAATTTGTGTTTTTGTCCTAGTGAAATGTAGGTGTCTGTTTCCATTGAAACTCTCACTGCTGGTCAAAAAGAAAAAGCAAGGCAAACACTTACGTGAAGACTACAGACTGATTCTCTTGATCTACAAAAGAGAAGAAAATGTCAGAACATCCTTCTGCCAGAGCTGCTATGTATGGGCATAAACTTATTCAAAATTCCCTTGGTTGCAATTTAGAGTCAGGTAATAAGGAAAGGGATTTGCTCTGTATATAGTTGGGGGGGATGTTTAAATTGTACAGAGTAAAATAGATTTTTTTCCTGCCCATGTCTATGCAAGTCATAAGAACATGTGAGTTCTAGGCCTATTTTCTTGCTCCAAATACAAATAGCAACTGACTAAATGGTTGACATTTTTGCCATTTTAAGCCTTTTAAGAAGCATGGTGTAATAATAGCTACAGAAAAACTTCTTTATGCCAGAAACTCTAGCAGGCATTTTGTATAATCAAAGTGGCCACCTACAGGGGGTTTACTCTGGGCCTGCCACTGGGCTGACCATTTCAATGCATTATCTCACTTAATCTGATGTGTGAACTAATCGTCCTCATAACCCTAGGAGGTAGGCCCTATTTTGCCCGAGTTTTATCCAGAAAGAAAAAGAGGCTTCAAGTGATTAAGTAACTGTAAAGGCCATGTTCCACTTACAATGCCTACGTGCCTCTAAGTGACACAGAAAAAGTAGATCAGATATTTTTATCTTTCATTTTGTAGGGCAGTCACTTACTGTGAAGCATATCCTGAAAGGCGTTATTGGCCACACCGAAGATGTGAGGGGGGCCCTCTGATCGCCTCTTCCCTTTGTAGGCGGCTACCACTTCTCGCTGATACACTGGAAGGCCCTTGTAAGGGTTTATGCTCACACACAAGAGGCCCGAATATGTCTGAGGGAGGTTCAGGAAAGATTTCAGAAAACAAGTTAGAAATACTTCCAGGATTATCTGCTCTTTCACTGTCACGTAACATTTGCTCAAATATTGATTTATAAAAGAACTGGAAGGGGAGAGCTTTTGGATTGTTGCAGAGAAGGGAAGTTCTAACAAGGAAGAGACCAAACCAGAGTAGGGTAACCGCAGGATTTGGGATTACCTCTTCCCCTGGGAGAACCTAAGGACTCCCAGGTCTGACATGAACACCTTTCAGATGGAGAAGATACCAACTAATAGCAGGCCTGCAGGAGGGACTCTTCCTCAGCAAGATTAAGAACCTGAAGTTAAGGCTCTGAGGGGGAACAGATCCTGTGAATCATTCAGTCATTGTCGTGGTTGCATCCAGGACACAAAAGATAGGTCGGTGCCCTAATCCCCAGAACCAGTGAATATGATCTCATTTGGAAAAAGGATCTTAGCAGATGTAATTAAGTTAAAGATCTCAAGATAGTATCCGGATGGATCTTAACTCCAGTGGAGACACACAGAAGAGAAGGCGATGTGAAGAGGGAGGCAGACACTGGAGTGACCCAGCCACAAGGAATGCCCATAGCCACCGGAAACTGAAAGAGGTAAGGAATGATTCCCCGCCAGAGGCTCCGCGGGGGTGTAACTCGGCTGATTCAATTTTGGACTCTGGCCCCTAGAACCATGACAAAATAAATTTCTGTTGTGTTAAGCCTCCCGGTGCGTGGTAATTTTGTTACAGCGTCCCAGGGACACATATAGTCACACAGTAAATCAGAGAGCCAAGGAGCAAGCTGGCTGGCTGCATGTCAAGGCTTCCACAGTAATGGGTCCCAAATGCCATCATCTTAGCCTAATCTTCTCAGCGCTGCTTCTGCTGAATAGGTTTTGAGTAAATAAAAATCTCAGCAACCAACCCTCTCCAATTTAATGAGGATGGAAAAAAATTCTGTTTTGAGGGACGGGCACTGCCTACTACAAAGGAGGTAGTAGGCACTGAACTACCGGCTTTACCTATATTCTTTTACTAAATTCTCCAAGCGGAGAGACAAGCATTATCCCACTCTACCGTAAAAGTGACTTCAGGAAGATAGGAAACCTAACACCTACAGGTGTGACTGAGCTGGCATTGGGACCCTGGTCTATCAGGTTCCGAGCCTCACGCCTTTACTTTAGCAGGACAACTCTGTGAAGGGATATTAATGCTGACAAAATATAACTGGGAAATGCTAACATAAGGACCCTTCCTGTGGGCATTCCTCAAAGGTTTTCTCCATGTGACTAGGCTTAAATTCGATGTGTTTCACCCATGAGAGGGCTGAGACATTGCTGAGACCAAGTTTCAGCAGCAAAGCCTATACACGAACATAGATCATCCAACGGTCATAGCGCCTCCTCAGGGTGTGCAGCATGGAGGCTTCATTGAGGTGAGTCAGCGCTGCCACGTCCTCAGTCATTTCAAACCGTGGAGGGTTCATCTGCTGAACTTCCTCCTCCTCGACACACAGACTCTGCAGAGAGAAAAATTTAAGATTTACTTCCCTATTTTATCTGTACTTATTTATTTTGTCGTGTATCACAAAGAATTTTCAGAGTCAAGAAGATGCCTCCTTAGAGGATAGAGCCAGGAGAAGTTACACCAACCTTGATGAAAGAAATGCAAGAGGTTGCTCCTCTTGCCCACGTGTGTTTCTCGCCCAAAGATGAAGTTTAAAAAAGCATTTTTGTTGAATCAAAATTTTCTAAATTGCAGCGCTTTAATCCTATAGTTCCTCACTGGCTTGGACCACCTCTGAGAGTGCCCACAGTAGAGTAAGTATGATTTGACCCCTCAAGATATCTCGATATATCCTGGAAGTTTAGAAGAAGAAACCAAGGAGCAGACATACTTTCAGACTTAGCTCAAGATGTATTCTCGTCCTCAAACCTTCCCCAATTCCCTCAGTTTGTTGTTATAAAGTCTTTTACCAGGTACAGAACCTGTACTATCTTAATATTATAAGCTCATCTACCTATCTATCTATTATCTATCTATCTATCTATCTATCTATCTATCTATCTATCATCTATCTATCTATCATCTATCTTTTGTTAGTATTTATTTTATGCTGGATTTACTCCCCGGCCATAATTTTTGTTTCCTCAGTTTTTTCTGGGATAGCTTTTCCTCCTGTGCAGCCTCCTCTACTGGTTTAGGAACAACCTACTCATTTTCAGCAGGACCATCTCAATGCGGCAGGGAGAGCTCATGTCGGAGTGCATCTGCCCATGAGCTCTGTAGGTTCTATGCCGCATCCTGGGAGCTTTGTTCACCTGGATGTGCTCAGTGATCAGAGAATCTACATCTACACCCTTAAGTTCAGTATTACTCTATTTTTGATTTTGTCCAGCAAAAAATCTGCACTCTTTTGGGGACCACAGACCCTGAGTCCAGCCCCACCATTTGGCCTGGGCACATCTACTAGCTCTACCATTATAATGAGAAAATAGCATACGTGGCTTCGGTGAAGTGATATCCTTCAGGTACTTGGTGACTTTTTGAATATGCATATTCTTGATGGACTGGGCAGTTTCATGAGTGTCCATAAATACAAAGATTTGAACCTCTTGATTTGCATGATTTTGTGGGGTTTTCTGGGTCAAGTGAGTAGTGAATTATTTTCATAGATCACCTCTGGCTGCTTTTAGGAAGAGTTAACTTGTATATATTTTAATAATTGACTATGTTAGAGTATTTCCCAAATAGCTTATAAGCACCTAAAGAAGACATTTTAATGTCTTCTTCTATAGTTGTTAAAGGACATATCACAAGCTAGGGATATGGTAGGTATTAAATAAATATTGATCATTTCATACATATTAATATATTGCCACTATCAAATAATTGCGTAGAGTTGCTCTCAGAAGTTTCCTAACACAATTTCCTATAACCCTTTCCCTTGATTAATAAATGTTAGCATTAGCTGATTTCAAGTTGGTAATAATTTCTTATTCAAAGGTTCTCAGACTCTCTGTATTCTTAATCCAATTTCCACCCACAGTCTTCTTTGACACTGTTCCAACAGTAATCCCCCCCTTTCTTAAGTCTGTTCAGTGTTTGTATTCCCAGGACTTCTTCTCTTTGATGGAACACAACCAATATTCTTGCATAAGTATTACTCTATATCCACTGGCTTTATTGCCTCTGTTACTGTTATAAAGACCAATAGTGATTGGAATTGGAGTCGCTTCTAATAGCAAAAAGAGGAAGCCTGGAGCCAGGGATATGCAGAGTGGGACTTTGGTAATGGGACCTCCATGTTATGGTGGAAAAACAGGACAAAACTAACTATCTTTAGACTCCTCTTTCTATGTCACTAATGTATTGCTTTCATGCTCTTAGTCCTAGGATTTCTTTTGAAAATTATAATGATAAATAAACCATATTTATAAATCACCTTCAATACTGTTGACAAGAAAGTAGTTTCAGAGACTGTGTCCAGAAGAGGCAAGCCTCTCACCTGGGTGCCTAACATAATTGAGTTGAGAGGGGTGGGACTGTTACAGCCTTTTACTACATATTCCTTCTATGACCCCACACAGTCTAGCTTATGCCCCAACACTTGCTCTAACCTTCTCTTTCAAAGGGCAGAAGTGACCTCCTAATTTTGAAATGAAAGGTTTTCTCCAAGCCCCCCTCTCTTTCCCTAGAATTTGACGTTACTGACAATTTCCGCATTTCTAGGCTTCTCTGACACGGCTATTCTTATTCCAAGCATGCCTCTCTTTCTTGATCCTATAAACACAATTTGCTTAATTGTTCCTTAGGTCACTGTTCACTCCAGGGGCACCTTAACAAACAAACAAACAAACTTGAAACATTGATGACAGAAGTGAAAAAAGTTGCGACTTCCAGAGTCAATGATCTTTACCACCAGCAATCAGTTTACTCTGATTTACTACTCAGTGTTAGTCATTAAATCTTTGTAGTAAGAGGAGAATCTCCTGAAAGATGAATGAGGTTTCCCAAGGTTCTTTGTGGCATCTCCTACCACAGGTTCTTAATTAAACTATTAGAGAAAATATTAATTATTCGGTTAAATTGAGAACCTAGTCATTTCCGAGGTTTAGAAAATGATTGCTTTACCTTGCCATCTGTTGTTTCAACAATTATTTTGCCATCATCTCCCCTCCCTTTAACCTCAGCCTCAACATAAGCACTCTTGCTGTCACGAATCCAGCATGTCTTCATTTCTGTAGAGGAAAAAAATATATGGGTTATATACAATATATGTCAGACACTTTCATCCTGATAGGTATGAGCTTGTTTCTTTTAATTCTGCTTGTTGACTTGAAATCACCAATATAGGTAATTGCAAAATTCAGTAAAATCATGAAAGATCATCCCGAGGACACTCACAGAATGACACTGTAGGAATAAGAAACATTTTGGCAAGCAGAGGCTGGGAACATCATACACCATTTTGCTGCTGGAAGGTTGCCTGCGAAATTTCACCCCCTCCTCCCAACCCCAGCACTTACCCCCCACTCACAACCCCAGATCCTGGGTGGTTGTCCTGGTGCTCCGACCCTTCCCAGCTCCCCGCCAAAGAACCTTGCTTAGATCTGGTTACAACTTAGTGAAAATGTAGGTTAGTGGTCATGTCTGTCCTTCAGGATTTCTTTAGACCTTAATTTTAATTTTGCATGAAAGCCTTCCAACAGAAGTACATGGTAAAATTAAAGGGAGAGGAGAGGGTTGAGGAGACGAAATACGGGTTACTTTTGTCATGCGGCGTAGCTGGTTCATGTCACTTTTCCAGATACATTATTTTTCTCTCTTCAGCCTCCTCATGCCCATGACCCACCCCTAAGCAAAGCAGACCTCCACGAAATGATTAACCAGTAAGAGGTTTCTGGTAAAATGTCCCAGAACTCTTATAAATACTGGAACCATCTTCTCAGGTTCTTTCCCACCTTAAGCAGATAGCCAGAGAAGAGAAATAAGAAATAGACTTCTAAAGCCAAGTGAGTTTTAGCAGAAGCTCACAGAAGTCCCTTGCTACAGCTTCTTGAGTAGATAGGGGTAAGGGGAGAGGAGAACTTTTGGCTATAAGAGGGAAAATTTGAACCATGGCACAGGTGAAACCCTGCTGCAGCCAACTTTGTCACCACCACAGCCCCTGACACATGAACAACCAAAGCAAGGGAGGCCTCAGGCTGCAGGACAGGGCTTTCATCAGGGACAAACCCGGGGATGGAATGTATAAGAAACAGGTGAAATTGGGCAGCATCCGCCCCTTCTTCCACCATGCTTGTCTCTGCAAAGTATTTTTTGCTCATTGCTTTCTTGCCGTCACCATCTACAACACTGTGCTCCCTCCCGTTTCCCTGATTGCAACCAATTCACCACTGAAACTGCTGGGCCAGAGGATTTTTATATCGCCATTCGACTGATTTTGTGCTTGCTTCTACTTGTCATTTGCATTGTAAATACTGGGTTGGCATTGTATTTATTCTTTTGGTCTCTTTTTTTTCCCCAAAAATGGATTTTGCTTTATGTTATTTCTGTGAAAGTGATTGTTTATGAAAAGCACCCGTTTTGCATACCTTATGTGTGTTTAAGGTAAATACACTGTATTTTAAACCAAATGTTATCACCTGAAAAAAACATGAGTATCACCTGGCAGAGATTCCCTCCTTCCTTTTGTTCCTTTTAGGAAAAGAACCAAAGAAAAGAGATTAAGAGAGCTGTCCAAAATTGCATAACTAATTAGTGGCAGTCATTAGAGTACTGACTCAAGAAATCCTATCACCGACCCCCTAAATCAGAGATCCTGCATTACTGTAAGATGCTTCCTCTATCTCCTGGGTTAACTTTGTTTCCCCCATTGTTTCTCTCAAGTATTGGGTTAATCACTTGCCTCTTTATTAGCAATTTTTTTATCACCTCTGGAAACTGGGAGAGAAAAATTTTCGAAGATCCTTACTTATCTGAGGCCCAGTCCCTGACAAGGATATTTTTGAAGATGAAACAAATGAATTCAGTCAACTTATAAATACTTTGCATTCATAAAAAATTGCAGAGAAGGCAATGGAGACAGCAATGGGTTTGAGTCAGGACACCTGGATTTTAGTCTTGGTTTTCCTAGTAACAAGATATAAAGAACAGCCTCATTTCTATGGGCTCTAGTTTTCTCATCTGTAAACTCAGGAGGTTTGTCTATGTGATTTTGTATTTTTAGATGATTAAATGTCTTTCCCAATATAATGGTAGCATGTCTTACTGGAGAAAACTTTAATGTAGAGAAATATATGAAGAAATTTTTTTAAAAAATCACCCATGATGTACAGTAACTCAAACAAACAAATAAACAACAAACCCACTATTATCCATGTGAAGCATTTCTTTCAAGTCTTTTTTCTCAAATATGGATCAAAATTGGAGTCATACTATATTCAGTTTTATACTTATTTTAAGTAGATTATTTACCTGTCCTTATATAAAAAATACGTACATTTTGCTTTGAGATGGTGTTTTGTCTTTATCTCTAAAAGCAGGCTTCCTCCCTGACTCCCAGCAATTCTAGTTTCCTTTCCGGGGTATCGCCCTGCTGCATTGCCTTTGTTTTTCCCACGTATTGTCTCATGTGGTCCTCACGGAGGAAGGTTGGCAGAGTAAGTATTAAACAGCCTGACAGGTGAGAAAACCGAGGCTGGGTAAGAAGTGATTTGCTCTAATTACACAGCTAGAGGACATCAAGCACAGGGAATCCGAACCCAAGAATACTTGCCTAATACTCTTATCACACTGATCTCACTTGGCTTGAGTTAAAAAAAAAAAGCCCTCTATACTGTCTCTAGCCCAGCAGGATGAAAAGTTTTTGCTGACTCTTGTCTTTTTGCTGTCAGTACATTTCTAGGAGGAAGAATACTTTGGCCAAAAAATTAATTAAAAATTATGTGCTTGTTATATTTTAAGTAATTATTTAGAGTGCTGACTGAGTCTACTAAATGTATCATTGAATTATCTCTAGTGCTTTGGCTCGATTTTGATTTTCTCCCTGAAATCACCATGGTCTTGTTCTTCGTTATCTAACTACCTGCGATAAGCTTCTGCATGACCAGTTCTGACCTCGGGGACAGTTCTGTTATTATATTTGATTTGATGGATTATAATTAGCTACTTTAAAATGCAATCACAGTAATGAAATTCAATGACTGGAAACTGGGAACTGATCCAGACTTGGTCTATGATGGAAATATAATGTTCTACATAACTGGCTTGAATTCTAATTGTTCACATTAAAGCCTAATGTTGACTAACTAGGAGTACTAGGACAACTCTCAGTCAGTATTTATGTTCTGCTATTGAATAATTTTGGAATTAAGATATGTAGGTGGCTTGATGCTAGATTACACTATGAATCTGACTCCAGATCCCCAATTAGCTGAACTTCAGAAGATGGCTGTGCAGCCTACACATGGAAAGCGAGAGGGGAATATATTTATTTAGAGATTTTCCTGTAGCTCTTAGCCTTTATCTTGAAGTTAAATCCTAATTAACCTTTGTTTTTGCCAGTAACTACCAAGAAATTATTAATCAGGGTAAGTTAGTCTCCCAATTATCTTTTGTTTAGTGTTTGGCTGAGTGACCCTACTGACCTAGAAAATGTCCAGAGGGCAAAGTTCCAACATTAGTAAATTCTGAAGATAGCCAGAGACAGCCTCTATTCCTCCTGCCTCCCCAGAGTCTTTTCCTTTCTTCTTCCCAGTGAACAAGCCCAGTCTCCCGTCTAAGTGTCAGGCTCATCCCTCTACTATGGCCTTCACTGACAACTAAGAGGTTTCTGAGAATGGCTTTATCTGGGGTCCCTCCTGCAGGTATCAGCATTATAACTGTGTTTCCTGGAAGATAAAGCACATTGTAGGGGCAAGGAAGCAGGGCCTGTACCTGGACCACCTCCCAGCACTCTTCTTTTCTGCAAACCTCCATCCCTTCCCTGGGCGCTCGGACCTCCTCAGTCGCTCAGGCAGAGGTCCATAGATGTGGGTTACACCCCAAGCAAGCAAGTTCGACTCCAGAACTGATGCATCCTCTGGACAAATCAACTATCTCAATTGCCACCTGGAAGCAGTAAACTAAAGTGAAGCCAGCAGCCCCCATGAATCTTACCATCGAAGTCCTTGGCCTGTAGCAGAAGCAGCTCTACCTCACTTGTTCTGAGGAAGGTCGCAGCCTCTCCAAGCTCTGACAAGTCCATCCTTCCTAAAGTGATCCACCCCAATGCTAGGCCTAAAGGAAGCTGAAAGTGTTCACTCTGCAGGAGATAGGTATAAGGAGAAAAAGTGGAAATGAGGCATCGGGCACTAAAATGAGAAACTAGAGGTAGACCAAAAGGATTAAGTCTTCTTTTAAACTGCCTCGATTCCTCCTCTCTCTGTCAGGTCTCAAGTTCAAGATAAAAAGGGGACTTAGGAACACCTGACCGAGCAGAACCAATTTGCCCCCTAGGCACAGTGCCTGTGACTCATTATACCTTTAGGGACCCAAAAAAAGTATTTTAATTTCTTTTAAAATTAGAAAAATATATAAATATTATATATACATATAAAGTAATGAATCTAGCCTGGGTTATATTAGTCTTCATCACCAAAGTTCAATTTTTTGAATTGAAAAAATCAGCTGTAAAATTCAATTTGTGTGTGTGTGTGTGTGTGTGTGTGTGTGTGTGTGTGTGTGTTTGTGAAAGAAAGGATTCACAAAGATAGAAGTGCCTAGGGTCCATGAAAGTCATAATGTAACACTGAACCGCAGACTTCTGGTCTTAGCAGGCGAGAGACTGGGCCAGATGGAGAAACGTCAAATTGAGGCACTAGGGCCCCTGCTAGGAGTGGAGGAAAGGCTTGCAGGTGTCTAGATGCATCAGGGTAGATGGAACATTGTAGCCAGATGGTGGTGACAGAGGGGAGAAGTTATTTTGAGAGCTGTTCAGCACTAGAGAGTAAAGGAACGAAAAGGTATCTCAGCAGAGATGAATGTCTGGGAGCAGACGGAATATAAAACCCCTGGCAGACAGACATCCGGGAAGCTGGCCTAGGGCTGCCGTGGGGAGGCACATGCTGGAGGCGGGGGGCAGGTGGTGTGGTGAAGGAAGTGAGCGGGTGTGAGTAGAGGAGCTCCTGTAGAAGTGAGTGGGTGTGAGCAGAGGAGCCCCTGTGCTCAGACATTTCCAGGTTTTCAGGGACTGGCCTGCTGGGCAAATCATCAGGGCTAACGTCATTGATTGTTCGTTCACTCTATACCAAACGCTTTACTTATTTTATCATTAATCTTCACACTTTCCATTTGGTAACATGGAGGAGAAGCAATGGCATCTGGGCCACCATGGTCCAAAATGAGAGATTATTCTTTCTTTCTTTTTATTCTTTTTTAAAAATTTTATTTAGTTATTTTTCAAGGAGATTATTCTTTCTAACTGACAAAAAACAAAAGTCTTAGGCTTTGCCCACTCTGCTCCAGTTTGCAGGGCAACTATTATCAGCCCTGCTTTACAGGTTGACAGGTAGAGAAGGACTTACCAAATTTTCCTAGCTCCAGCGCCCCACTCAAGGATTCATTAGTGCCATGGCCTACCCCTCCAAAATAAACTGTAATCATTTTCTACCTCACACATGGGTGAGGATTAACACCCCTAATAAAGTAACGCATTTCACAATACTTCATCTGCTCTTTTCTTGTGGTGACTTGGGAGCATCTATGGATACTATTCTCTGGAATCTAAGGAGTGTGATTTAAAGCAAAGACTAGTGGTCCAGGCTAAGAGTTAGTTTTACCTCTGCCAGGAAATAAGCATGTGGCTTGTAGGAAATGACTTGTCCCCCACCTTGAGGTTCAGTTTCCTCACCTGCACAATGCAAGAACTAGCCATAGTTCATGCGGGCATTTCCCACGGTAGACAGGCAAGAAGGTACTCATGAGAAGCACATGCACAAATGCCCAGATATGGCAGGGAGGGTAGCAATTCCCAGGACAGGAAGATATAATTGATCTTTTCTGCAGGTGAGCATTTAGAATAATAATAATAATGAACACTTGAATAGAGTGAATGGAGCAAGATGAAAAAAGATCTGGAAGTTAGGCAGAGAAATGTGGAAACAGACTGCAGGAAACCTTGTAGACTCTGGGCAGGGACCCGAGGACAGCAGTATTTTAGGAAAATGGCTCTGGAAGCACATTTGTGGTGGGTTGAAACAGGGAGAAGCCGTAGTCAGGGAGACAAGTTGTGAGTCCGTATTTGTGAGAGAACTAAACTGTGTCTTCCCCCCTCTCACTCTGTGCAGCTTCTTGGTGGCCCGCAGAGTAGACAGAAGGGCTCAGAAAATAGATTTTGGGTGTAGAAGATACTCATAAATGCATGGGTATGTGTGCAAATTTCCTGGGTGAATACATGAATACCTAAGAAATGGGTACCTAGGAAGTAGGAACAGGATATGGGTGGGAGAAGGGGACAGTTACCTTTCACTTTATACCCTTCCTATCTGTTTTAATGTGTGGGCATGTGTGTGTATGTCCACAGATTTTTAAAAGTAGTTCTTACTATAACTTTCAAGGAAAAAACAATCACATCAAAGTACAGTACACACAGCTATGTAAATCCCTTTGCTAGTCTGGACCACTTAGCATAATGAAGGGAATACAGGAAGCAGTATGTGTAGAAAGCAGTGCTAGATAGGAGGAAACTAGACATGCCAGGAGCACAGAGGATCTGCCAGCTCTTCGGAGGGAGGCAACCGAAGCCAATAAAATGACCCCCCTGAACAAACAAAGATCAGAACCCTCCTTCCTCCTCTGCCTCCTCCTGCATCCATTAACCCAATGCCCCTACGAATCCTCTGGGTCCCTTTAGTTTCAACTTGTACATATGGAATTTTTCAGAAAAACACATTTGTCACAGCACAGTCATATTAATGCCTTAAAATAGAAAATGAAAGAGTCCAAACTCCCAAAGAAGTATACAAAATTAACCTTGTCTGCAAAATAAACAGGAGGTATATTTTAATCATGATAGAGAAATATAGATGAACACTGATTTAAAAGGAGTTCTTTTAGGTTTAGGGTTAGAGTTACTCTATATATTGAGAGGAAATTAAATCTGAGATTGGTACTTTGGCATTTTTTGTCAAGAGATTCTGAGACCTATTGTAAACTTTTATCTGCTAGTAAATACTTGGAAGAGGCAGAAGAGAGAAGGGAGCAGGATAAACCGCAGAGGAGAGGGAGGGGTGAGGCACAGGATGTCTGCACGTTGCTGTCACTTCCTCACATCTGGGCCCAGTGGTTCCTTTCAACATCCAAGAGCTTGATTTGTCACTTTGTACGGGGATGATTAGGATCTGAGAGTCAGATAGCTATGCTCATAAGTACGGTGACCATATTATTTATTATCCAAACCTGGACATATTTTTTCATACAGGAACACTTCTGAGAGTGGAAGAGGGAATTCATAACTAAACCTGGGCAACAGACATAATCTGATACCACCCCAAGCAAACAGAGACATGTGGACACCTCAGGCATAAAGGAATTGATGACTTGGGATGACAATTTATAAATCAGCAATAAAGGTACAGCTTTTGGGCATCTGTAAAGTTCAGATTACTTGTCTCCATCGCTTACAGGGTACTTAGACAACATTACTATCAGAAAGCTGAACTCAGAGCGAGGTTTAAATACTGACAGGACTTGTCATTCTGTTCGTAGCACAGCCAAGTGGCTCCTCCTGCTCTGTTCTAGCATTCACTTTTTCAGACTGAGGTCGGTATAAACCACCACTCTCCCATTTGCACTGACATGATGCAATTTCCAGAATTAAACATATTAGTTACCTAGATAGCAAGATAAAGATGAAGAGTGGGAAGGCCTTATGTGGAAGGGACAGTTGAGATGTGAGCTTTTCACCTTGACCTGGAAAGGATCGTGTTGGTCCAATCTAGCTGCCCTTGATAAAAAATAAATGGACACCTGCCATTTAAGAGGTGACATCAGCCTCGGTGACTAACCGTCCTGGTAGCTGGGGTCTGAATCCTTTCCCAGGACTTGGGATTTCCAATGCTCAAACCAGGTGAGTCCCAGGCAAGTTGGGACAAGTTGGTTATCTTACTTTCAAGTCTAAACCATTGAGTTATTTGAAGAATAAAATCTCTAGTTTAAAAATTAGCTACTTTTATGCTGATTGTATTTTTGTGCTTCTCCCTCCCTCCAGGTATTTTGTAAAAAGCTTTTTGAAAATGTCCATCTATTCTCTCATTAAATATATATTTATTGCCCAACAGCAATTGCCCACATGGGCCATGTATGTGTGTACAAAGATGGGCATTGTAACGCACTCTTTACCCTTTTAGATTGATAGGTTGGGAATGTGTTGGGTATGGCAGGGGACGGAGTTCTTTCTGTCTTAAAATATGGATATGCATTAGGCAAATTTGTAGAGAGAAATCTTCCCATTGTGTAGAGGGGCAGTGGTGGTCACGAGGCAAAGATCAGCACAAGGGAGCCCAGGGGAAGTGCAGAGCCAGTGGAAGAGGTGAGTTTGTGCAGCTATGACTCCAGCTCACCACTCAGCTAACACCTTAGTTTAGTCTTTGTTATATTTTTTATGACATGAGAGGCCTTTTCATCACATTGTTCTTTGACGGGATCCTTCACTCCATCATCTCTTCTGCTTGCCATTTCATCAGAAGGGTTCCTTTTTGATCCTCGTTATCCCCCGGCATAAAACCCTGAGAGTCTTCTCCCATTTCTCCTTCTCTCTCATGCCCATGTTCAACTGATCACCAAGTTCTATTGATTCTGCAATGATCAGATTCTTATCCGCTTCTAGCAGATGTGGTTTTGAGTGCCTGCTGAGCTCACACACTTCTCTGAGCAGTGCCTGCCATCCACGGGCATGAACCACAAGCTGTCATGTTTCTAAGGTGACACTGGTGGCCTGGCCCTGCTGATTACAGCAGGTGTGGGTACCTGATCCAATCAGAGACACTCAGGCTGTGTTTCCCTGGCATACAGATTTGGGACATAGGGCACCTCAGTCTGGGATTTTTGCTTGCAAAAAGTGATGCACAGCTGGGGGTTGAGGCTGGCATTGTCCCAGGGTGCCATGGCCCAGTAATCAGTAGATGCATCGGCAGAGGGAAAGAAGCAGCAATGCGGGAAGGAGAGATTGCTTGCTTATGTTCCCCAAAGCTTTTCTGGTTACAGTACCTCTTGAGACCTAGATTCAACTCCTGCCTTTGGTTGCCATAA